TGTACTAAGGATATACTACGGCACTGCTAAGCATATTTTCGACAGAAGAAATGGAATCTGAAAATTGTGAATTTTTCGATGATCCCTGGCTCGCGAGCTAGGGATCATCGACGATTTTGATATCCTGAGATTTCACTTATTTCTACTATAAACTTCTTTAGCAGTGCCGTAGTATGTCCACAGTACAATTCTACAGCACTTTTTTGAATTTTCAGGGAGATAAATGGCATTGAAATTAAGGCCCGTATGCACGTACATCCCCGCTGAGGAGGGGAGGAGATCTGAGAGGGGATGCCTCATATCTCGCTACTCTAAGCATCTTTCTTCTTCCTTTTCCATCTTGCTTGTGAAGGTTCTCATAAGGTTCTCCTAATACCTGCGCATAATTGATGCCAGGTTACTGGCATAACTGATTAGATTTTTACTATTTTGTGTGATCTCCTGGGGATCCCCAGGGCATCCCCAGGGAATCAATTCTCAATTTCAGTGCCATTTATCTTCCTGAAAACTCAATGAAAACGCTGTAAAATTGTACTGTGGATGTACTACGGCACTGCCAAAGATGTTTGTAGTAATACTTGGAATCTTGGGATATAGAAAGCTTCGGTAATTCCCTGGCTTGAAACCTAGGGATCATCAAAAAAACAATCTTCACATTCCATTTCTTCTGCCAAAAACATGCTTAGCAGTGTCGCAGTATATCTTCAGCACAATTTTGCGGCATTTCCATTCACTTCTCAGGAAGATAAATGATTTTGAAAATGAGAGGTGATCCCCTGGGGATCCCCTGGGGATCCCCAGGTGATCACACAAAATGGCAAAAAAACCAATCTTGTATGGAAGTAACCTGGAATTCATCACGCGCAGGTATAAGTGTATGAAAAACTTCATGAATAGAGAAAGAAGAAGAAAGATACGTAGAGTAGCGAGATATGACACATCCCCTCTCAGATCCCCTTCCCTCCCCAGCGGGGATGTAGTGCATACGGGCCCTGGTGATAATAGCGCTTGTCGGTGATGTAATATCCAAGCATGTCATCCCCAATGAGATAGTAAGTTATATAGGCCCAAATTACAACAGTGAGCTTTTCAAGGAAATCAACAAAACTCTAGGGATCTCCAATATTCTTACCGAGAACCACAAGGCCGATGGCCATGTGGAAAGGATGGTAAAGGTAGTAACAGATCCTTTCATTATCTATTGCCCAGAGGCTAGAGGTTTGTGGTCAGATTTTATTCAACCTGTAGTTATCGTAATTGCAATAAGTGTGTTTCAACTGGATCAAGCCTTCTTTGTGGTGCGCAGCAGACATCCGATGACGTGGATACTTCCACACTAATCTTCGCCACAGCTACGTTCGCAGGACAGTTTGCAGCCGCCTTGCAAATTAGGATAGTGGAGGAAGAAAGCAGTATCGTGGCTAAAACTGCAGCGTATTAGGCTGGACAGACTTCCAAAAGAATTTAAACCAAAAAAAGCTTTTTATTGAAAATCTTGTTTTCCTTCATGACAACACAGTTTGTCCTAAACTGATGATTCAGTGGAAATGTCACTCTGAAAGTGTATCTTTCTCACGTCCAGATGTCACAATTAAAAGTCTGTTCACAAAATCACTACCACAAACGGTGCACATAAGCAGGCTTAAATTGTAATTCAGCAGACTCAGCGAGCGCGAGGTTACTGTACGAACACCAATACCAGCTCACACATGAAACCTCGCGCAACACGAAGTTGAGACGTTCAGAGCGTCTCCAAATAAAGCTAATCCGCTTTCTTTTCGAAGGAAGTTAAGGTTCCAGTAGCCGTTCCAAAAAAAACCTTTTCTCTCTAAATGGCTACTTGTTTTTTTTTCTTCTTACTGTTATTTGCCCCTGCGCTCCGTCAGACTTCTCCGAATAGGCTCTTTGGAGAAGAGTATTTGAGCTTCGAAAAAAAAAACATCTTCTAGCCTTGGAAACAGTGTTAGGGAAGTGTTCCCTCTTGAGCTGCATACAAGAAGAGGAAATGACGGTAAAATTCTCGCAAGCACTATAAATAATGATTGCGAGGATTTTACATTTACAATTTTACATTACACAATTCATAAATGACAGTCAAGCAAAAGGCGTACTCCAGTATCCGGGCCCCAAATTTTTCTCGCATGAATTTTGCTGAAACTTGACCCAGGGGGGTTATTCGGCTCGCTGATACCAAATATCGCATTGTTTTGTGCCGTAGCGTCAATTTCTCGGGTTACGATAGGTATACGATATGGAGTCAAAAATCCAAATTCGCTGAAACTTAACCCAGGGGGTTAGTCGGTCCGCTGACGGCGAATATCACATTGGTTTTGTACCGTAGCGTCATTTTCTCGGGTTATGGTGGATATACGGTAGGGGGTCAAATTCTCAAAATTCGCTGTAACTTCTCACAGAGGGGTTATTCGGCTGCTTGGAAATTCCACGCTTTCTCCGCACGAAAACATCTCCCTGCATGGTTACGGTAGGTTTACGGTAGGGATCCCTTTCCCCTGTGCTTTGCTTAGGCAAAAGCCGCAGCAGAGTGTGTAGCGCGCGGCGGTGGTCGTGTGTGCAAAGCTTCACGATCGTCCAAATCGCCGTACACCCGTTTGAGGCAGAACTGCGTTTTTAACCCGTTACCTTATACCCACCGTAACCCAAGAAGATGACGCTAACGTACAAAACCAATATGATATTCGGCATCAGCGGGCCGAATAACCCCCCTGGGCCAAGTTCCAGCAAATTCCGTGGTCTTGACCCCTTACCGTATACCCACCGTAACCCAAAATGACGCTACCGTACAAATCGCAACATGATATTCGGCATCAGCGGGCCGATTAACCCCCCCCCCCTGGGCCAAGTTTCAGCGAAATCCACGACAAAAGAATTTTGGGCCCCGGATAGCGGAATAGCGCCCAGATATTCATTTTACAATACCTCAGCATATGTAAATTTACCTACCAACATACTAACCCTTCTACAACTATAAATTCACCTACGCACATGCTTCATACTGTCAGTGAAAGTGCCGAAAGTGCTATTTATCTTTCGAGCGCGAGCTTTGTGCTGGTCATGCGAGCGCGTGTCTTTGCCCGCTAGCAACATACCTGCCGTACTTATCGTTAGGGTTGTTTCATACTGCAGTCATATGGGGGCGGGCAAAAGATATCGATCGATTGACTGCCGTTGCTGCAGCGACTGCAGTATGAAACAACCCTTATGTCAACTACGAAGTAACGAAATAATCGCAACGTTGGCGGACATTTCCAAAATCAACTGGTTACTGTCAAATGATCAATGCGCAGTCAAATGGTCTGAGTCAAATGGTCAAAGTTCACGGTTGAATGGCCACACATGAAAGCACGGGACGAGCTTCATTAAAAAATGGACACGTTACGATGAAGCCTCAGTGTGGGCGACGATTACAAGCAAGAGTCGGGCCTAGCCTCTATATAACTGGTGGTCGGTTTCTCGCCCCTTTTTATATTCATTGTTTCAATGATAAAGTTTGATAATTAGATCCTTTGTTTATACTTGGAAGCAATTGGAATGAAGCAAGTCAGCCTGCGCAATTCACGAATTTGACACCGTATACCTACCGTAGTCCCATAATGGCCCTTTCGGGTAAAATGAATATTATTTTCGTGATCGAATCACCGCTGCGTGCAGAGTTTTAGCAAAATAGGAACTTTGAATTTTTGGGTTGCGTGTTCGGAAAAGAGGAAATTTCTCACATCTAAAGGCGATTGGACTGCTAATCAACTATAAAAACCGAAATGAGATCACAGCTTATAAATTTGCTGTAGCACGCTTTGAAGAGGGGTTTCTGTGACTTTAAAAGCACAGCACTCAGAAATAAAGAGTCGTCTCTTCAATGGTCCTTATCCTTATCACTTCCGGGGTAGAGGACTATATGTCGCCGAGAAGGGGCGGTCCACGGTCATTATAACAAATACGCACGCTTGCACATCCACGGAGGTGCGTTCTTTGCAAGAAGTCTGCGAGGACCTCCCACATTTGGCGACATATAGTCCTCCACTCCCACTTCCGGACCTCCTGTTGCTCCTCATCAACGATATCCACAGCCCCAACTCACACTACGTTGCTAACAAGGGAAGGATACCAACATTAGTCGGCGATTGAAGATGAGATGTATATCAGTAGACGCACTTTTAAACGCTAACTCCAGATCTGCTTTCCTTTTTTACGGAATTGGTTTCCGAAAGAATTTATGAGCGTTTGAATGTCTAGATTTGCCAACCATTGAGTGGCTTAAAACCAGCGAAAAGCTATAAAACAATACCTATGCGATTTCAACCGGCTTTGATCCTTGCAAACACAATACTCGATACAAAACTGATTCTCCACTTTCCGGTGTTTTAGTGCAGCTTTTCGCCAATTTTAGGCCACCTAAACCTCGACGGATTTGGACATTCAAACGCCCACAACTTCTTTCGGGATCCTGTTCCGCAAAAAGGAAAGCAGATTTGGAATCAACGTTTAAAGGCGCGTATATACTGATATATGTACCTTCCATCTTCAGTAGCCGATTAATGTTGGTATCCTTCCCTAATAAGCCTACTATCGTTTGATGAGCTTCGACTAATAACATATGTAGCTCAGGTATTGGAGATTGTACTGTAGCTGTACTTGTAGCTTGAGCTGCACTTGTATTCTCATGATTCTCCCACGTAAAGGAGTCGTTTTCTTTCAGAGTCACTTACGCAATGAAAGTTATGGGATGTACGCGAAACATCGGCAAGAGTCCCGCGCGGAAGCGCAATTATTACTTGGTCATGGGGCGCGCTTTTCGCAACCTTGTAAATAACAAGTATGAGTCTTTTGTTACTGTTACGCAAAAAGACAGGGTCAATTCGCTTTTATCGGGTTTTCACATTTGCGTATTGTATGCCGAACGTGCTTCCTTTGCAGTTCACCAGATTTTCTATCTTATTCGGTCTACAGAAAATTTTCTCTGAAAGTGTAAATAGTATCATTGCAGCAGTTTTAGACGATGAGTTCATCACATGATATATCGACGACTGAATCCGCTTGCTCATCTGATCGTACTATGGACAGTATTACAGATCAGCTATCTTCATGTTCTTCTTGTGGTGAAATGCAGACGTGAGTAGTTTCTCTACGAGTAACTGGTTTAGGGACCGGTTACACTTCGCCGAAAAAAGCCCAAAAGCGCTCAAAAAGTCCAAAAAAGCCCGAAAAGGTCCGAAAAAGTCCAGAAAAGTCCGAAAGAGCCAGAAACGAAATTATGGTAGAATTCTGACTTTATTTTGATGTGCAGACGAAGAAAATGAAGCAAAAAGACTCGTTTGCGAAATCAACACCATGTCTTAGCGTCAAAACGGAGGGGGCGTTCCGGCTTTTTTGGGCTTTTTCGGGCTTTTTGGGGTTTTTTTCGGCTTTTTCGGGCTTTTTTGAGCGCTTTTGGGCTTTTTTCGGCGAAGTATGACGGGTCCCTTACCTAAACGGAGGTATAGAGAAGCTGTTCAATTATCAAGCGGCTCTTACACTCGATGTAACTATTAATCTTCATGGTTGGAATAACCTTTATGAAACTTCCATAGTTGGAATAATAGCGAATTTATCACGGTAGAGAAGTCTTTTTTGTTCATTTTCTTCCTTTTTCTATCTCAAGTCAGTAGACTATTTAATTGAGGAGGGCAAAAATCCTGCCCCTTGTAAACTCACTCGTGCGCGGAGTTTAGCTTTGAACTCGCGATCACCGCATCATAACATAGTATGTGAGTCGAGATGTCATTATTTTCCCTTACTTTTGGAACAGTGACTGTAGAAATCGCATCACATGGCGCCAACTTTGGTGGGCAGACTCGCATCTTCTACAGATTACGCAATATTTTTGGCTCAAATATGCATGCCTTGCGAAGCACATTTCCAATGATTATCAATAATTGAGCAATTTTCACTCAGTAACACTAATTACCTCCTCAGAATACGAAGATATGCGTAAGATAAGCTGTCGCACGCAGAGACTGGACGCAGGAGACGCCGACAGCGTCCGGAATACCGCCCTGCCTCTGCGTCGATGATGCCCCTATGGCTGCCTCTTTGACAACGTCATTGTGGAGTGAAGATCGACGACCACGGAGATGTTTTCTATAGTATATGTTGCCCATTTGGCCTCGGGCAGAGTTCACGCGACTTGATCGTCGCGATTGATCGCGACAAGGCAACTGTAACAATATCATTGCATGCCGATCTTTTTGCATTTCGGTTGTGATAGTTTTCCAACACGACTAATTGTGACTAACTATCACAACCGAAATACAAGAAGATCGGCATGAATGAACTCGTAACACTTGTCGAGACGCAGACTAATTAGATGGTCCGACAGTCCCCACGCCAACTGGGGTGTAGTCAAGAGGCGCGATTTTTATTGCCAGATGGACACCAAAAAGCACATAATAAGTGTTTTATAACATTCACAAATACTGAAATTTTAAAAGGAGATATATTTGGGAGTTGCATGGGTTGATAAATCTGGCTTCCTTGGAATCAGTTCAAAAGAACAATTTTGAAGGTCAAAAACCCATGAAAATGCAGCTAAGAACAAATTCGTAAATATTTCTGTCCGTTTTTCAGCAAAAGCCATCTCACTCGGCGAGTGGTAACCTCAGACAGATAGCAGTTCAATGCACTTCATTTGATAATTTTTGAAGATTCGCATGGCACTAAACTGGAGTTTTGAGTTGGTGACAGCTGGATAAATCGCACCTCTTGACCGTCTCCCCGCCAGGGTCTTGACCGTCTCCCCGCCAACTGGGCGGTGCCCAACAACTCCAGATGAGCTGTGCCCAACCGGGTGACCGGCGGTTTCCCTTCCTCTCTCTTTCTATCCATAAATATATAATAAAGATTCTAGTCACAGATGTTATGTTCATATTAAGTACTAGCTGGCATACCCGGCTCCGCCGTATGTTCCGAATAGAAAATTCCATTTCTCAACCGATCCGAACGAAACTTGGCACACATACACTTCGGGCCCCGGCGGGTGTCACAGTCCACTTTTCGTTATCCTAGGGGGCTGGGATTTGGCACAGGGGGAGGGTAATCGAGCATGCTGATTACGAATACAATATTAGTTTTCGAAACCGTGCATTACTTTTATCGATTTTATCGATTTTTTTTGCAAAATTTGAGCTAGGGGGATGGAATTTGGCAAGGGGTGTAATCGAGCATGCTGATCACCCCCACGGGGGTGTAGCCTATGACACCCGCCGGGGCCCGAAGTGTATGTGTGCTAAGTTTGGTCCGGATCGGTTCAGAAATGGAATTTTCTATTCGGAACATACGTACACACAGACATACAGACAGACAGACAGACAGACAGACAGACATACATACATACATACAAACAGACATTCAGCTTTATATATAAGAAGCAGTGGCGTACCGAGGGGGGGGGGCGGGGGGGGGCGCGCGCCCCCCCCCGAGAACGGGTCGCAAAATTTTTGAAAGTTACTTACATGCGTTATAAAAATGTGCAAATGACTTGTTTATTTTTGTAAACAATTAAAATAATTTTTAAAATTTTTTAAAAATTCAAATCAGCCTTATAAAAAAAATTTTTTCGGGGGCGTGGCTGACGCCACGCCCCCTTTTTCCAGATTTTAGGGGTTGGGGGCCCGCAGAATTGTTGAGAAGCCCCCCTAAAATTTTTTCGGAGTGCGTGGCTAACGCCACGCACCTTCATTTAAAAAATTTTTTTTTGCCGCGCCCCCCCCCCCGAGCCGAAATCCTGGGTACGCCACTGATAAGAAGACAATCAGGGTGAAGGATTCAGGTCAGGAGAGTGCACCTCCTGGACTTGACACACTTGTCTTATAGCGATTACATCGCGACGATCAAATCGAATGAACTTTGCCCGAGGCCTTTCACTACACTAAGCGCTGAGTCGAAATTTTGCGTCAGTAATAGTGATTTGTTTGCTTTTCATAGACACTATGCAATCTTAGGGAATTTCCATGGAACATAATCGACAACCCGCTGCCGACTGTGCCTGACTTCGGAAGTTTATCGAAAGATTATGGGCAGCCACTGATAATTCACTTCTACAGCGATCTGCACGGCAACATAGTATCGCGCATTGGTGGTGAGTATCTTTTTCATTTCTATCTGCACGTCCAGAATTCTGCCTTTTCTCAGATTTTCAAGATGTTCCCGTTTTGGAGGCTGTTAGAGCTTTGAATGCACAGCCCCTTTACACACAGAGCATCAATCTCGTTGTGAGGATAGACCGCTGTGATGAGGATGAAATAGCATTCATTTTGGTGGATTTTCCTAGTACAGGACAGATTGTCCACTTCAACGTTAGCAGTGCACAAATTATTACAGCCAACGCTCCGCCTTCTACTCTTTCGCTGTCGCATAAGTTTTGCTGTCAACGATTGGGAGCGATGTGTTCTTGAAATGGACGACTACAATCATGCAGTCAGAATAGTGGAAGTGATATCCGAATTTACAGACAAGTCAGTATTTCGCAAATTGTTTAGTTTAGCCTCGGGCAGAGTTCACGCGATTTCATCGCGCCGCGATTCCCGACAAGATGTCAGTTACGAGTCCATTGCATGCCGATCATCTTGCATTTCGGTTGTGGTAGTTGGTCACGATTAGTCGTGTCTGAAAACTATCACAACCGAAATGCAAGATGATCTGCATGCAATGGACACGTAAGGCCTCGGACATACCTCACGCGATTTCAGTCGCGACGCGATGGCAATACTCCAAACGTTCATAACTCATCGTACGGGGTTTCCGAATGTACGGAAGATGGGGCATTTTATCAACCCGAAAGTTATACATGCTGTACATTTGGGGTCTAGTATTGAATTTGAAAACATCTGGCAAATTGCCAGATCGCGTGGCGACTGAAATCGCGTGAGGTATGTCCCTTGCCTAACTTTTGTTTTGTTGGGAGAATCGCAAGGCGGTGAAATCGTGTGAACATGCCCAAAGCCTTAGCCTAATAATGATAGAATTTAGGATTTTTGAGCTCAATATAGGATCAGTACAGCATGTAAAGGAACAGCGAATTCGTAACGTTAGCATCACACCATCGCAGTAGCCCTCTATTTCGCTCATGCTCTTTTTAGATTATAGAAGAAGAAGCCCTTCATGTCGTGCAGTTACTGGAGGAATGGCTTCCCAAAATTTACACTACTTTGAGGTAAGTTGAACTTCTTTCCAGTAGACAAATTCTCAGGATGTCTTTGAGTCATACTGGTTTTTTTAATCTCTTTCACTTATTCCCAATGTGGCAAAAGTGAAGGTACTCACATATAAGAAAGGACCAAATTTTTTGAGTTGAAGTTTTCACCATTGTTATTGAGGTGACTAAGATGTCTTTGTGGAGAATCTTATACAACGGTCTATTCCCAAGAGCATCACATCTGTGGCGCAAAGCCTAGCAGCAGGGCCTAGCAGCTGGCGCTTAAGTGCGGTCAGGAAAACAGTTAAATAGGCGATTGCTTGGAGGAAGTGTACGTCGGGTCTACAAGCGCGGATTTTTTTTTGTATGGCACTAAATTTGGCTTTTTTGACATCTCTGGAATTGTTGAATGAGTGTGGGTCGAGCGTAGCGAGCGGTTATGTTGACGCCGACTAGAACTAATTGTTGGTTACACTCTTGGAGACAGATTTAAGAACGAACTCTGCAGATTGCCCACATTTTTTTCTTATATGTAATGTGAAGATGTTGTCTAACTTCTTATAAAATGATAGCACTAGATGTAAGTTACCCTCGATATCATCCCATATGTCTTCCCTCAACATGACGTGGATTACGTGGTTTGATGAGGCGCCGCCTCGCCTCGGCCTCGCGCCACGTTGCGAGCGCATCATTTGGCGCGACGTGGCACTCAACACAACTTGGCGCAGACTTTTCCACGTTCTTCTTGTTGCCACATCACGCCGAAGACGCGCACGCAACGTGGCGCAAGCCCGAGGCGAGGCGGCGCCTCATCAAGCCAGTAATCCACGTCATGTTGAGGGAACACATATGGGATGATATCGAGGGTATATTCAGTTGTGCATGCAAATTATCTTGTAAACAGTTCTCTGCTTCGGAAATCCTGTAAAGGATATAGTCTGACCCAATCGGGATCAGGCCGAACCGTCGGCTGAATTTGCGCGCTTGCAGCGCTAGGGGATTGCGCTGCATACGCGCGCTGTCGCACAGAGTGAAGAGATCGAGGAGAGAGCAGACTAGCTAGCCGCAGATGTGGCGCAAAACCCTCGCGGCGCGGACTCCCGCCATGCCGATTTTGGCCTGGTTAGGATTGGGGCAGACTGTATCCGTCGACGACCGCCCCGTTTCGTGCATTTACACCACCGCAGGCGTGCCTTTTTGAAGCCTTTCCAGCTTGACAGTACGCTGCAGCGCGCGAGGACTTGGTATCTCGCAGCATCCCTGTCCTTTAACCTCTTTTGTTGATTTAAGTATTTCACATCGTTTTTTCTTATTATTTTTCATTTTAGGCAATTAGCCGTTCTAATGTCTATGTGAGATCATCGCCGCGAGCAAAGGAGAGAAAAGAATGACCTTTTTTGTAATTGCAATGGTGGATATCATGGTTATGGTTGGGATTGCATGTTTCCTTCAATGTTTTGTAACGATTTGACATGTTTCCTGGGACAGACCACTGAAATGATTACTTCAGCACTCCTACATCAGGGACACCATGTAGGAGTGCTGAAATATACATCAGAGTGGCCTCATCTAAGAAAAATCCATGAAAGCCACCACGCTTATGAACAAAGCATACACTTTCACCTAATTTTGCCCGAGGCGATGGCTTACGATTGTGTAAAAGGAAAGAATGTAAAAGAATGTTTGGCGTGTAAGAAGGAAGAGGAATTCAATAAATGTGCCTAAACAACTTTTTTCCATACCTTTCAGTGTTCATCAAAGAAGAACGTAGGATATTTGAACATAGAGAGAACCTAAGAGAAAGGTAAGACGAATGACTGACTGAAATACGAGAACTAAGAAGAGGAATACGATGCGAAATACTGAAATTAACGAAAGAGGCTAAAGGACACTGTTGCTGCGAGCTACGAAGTCCCGGCACGCTGCAGTGTACTGTCAAGCTGGAAAGGCTCCAAATAGGCACGCCCACGGTGGTGTAAATGCACCAATCGGGGCAGTCGTCGATGAATATCCTTTAATGTGTCGAATGTGAGAAATCACAATAATTCTCTAGAACTCTGCTGGGATTATTTTCGGCAGCTTGATTTCTGCATTATAGATGTTGCAGATGTCTTCGCATATTTGCTTTCATCCGTCTTGACGCGCACCTCTCACTCATGCTAAACCGCTGTCCTATGCTGAGCCATCTTACCCTTGCAAGGGTGTGTCAGTGTCTGTGAGACGAATTTTTGTGCGTTTATGTCTCCCCAGAAGCAAGTTCTGAGTTCGTTTCAGATTTCTGAAATATCTTGTCCTTGTTTCAATAACCTGCAGTCGTTCGAGTTCAATGGATGCGGAATGGGGTACGCAGAAGAAGATTTGACTCTTGGGAAGGTAAGAGAGTTTCACGAGAGCATAGAAGCCACATGATATCGTCTTTCAGTGCTTAGTCAAATACTTCCCAAATGTGCGTGTAATTGGATTTCGGGAAGTCTGCTTTGATCCAGTGATATCAAGCTTGATCAGGCTGGTGCTTTGCTTGTTTTTTGGTGTTTATCATGTAAGAGTGTGTTGCCTTTGGCATTTATTAGTGTAGGGGTCGCTTTGAAGGCAGTGTCGAGGCGAATTTGAGCTGAGCGCATTGGTTTTTCACCTGGAAAATTCATTCACAGCTGAGAAATCCGTCCCCAAACTTTTCACGCCTGCGCCGTGGCAGTGACTCGCGAGTGACTTGGGGTGGTCCCAGCGCTAACGCAGCGTTAAAATGAGGTAGGTGCCAGGGATCGGCCATACTATTCCTGCTATTCCTGCGATTCCTGCGAATCCTGTGAGTCCCGCACAGTTTATACGCCGCTTAAATGAGCGCGTGTTGCGTGTTGTTTTACGTGTTGTTTTTTCTAGAGTTTGTTTTAAGCGGCGTATAAACTGTGCGGGACTCACAGGATTCGCAGGAATCGCATGAATCGTAGGAATAGCAGGAATAGTATGGCCGATCCCCCAGAGTAAGCGAATATTTTGTTCAGGTTGGGGTCCCGCGCAGAATTGACGTCACTTGGATTGACGCCAGCATGGTGAGAGACGTCAGTTCTGCGCGGGACCCCAACCTGAACAAAATATTCGCTTACTCTGGCACCTACCTGAGCGAAGTCATTTTCATGTTACGGACGGCACAGGCGCGAAGAGTTTGGGATTTCAATGGGCAATTCAATCATCAGATCGTCGTATAGTGCTTCCTAGGGTATGTTAGCCGCTCAAATATCTCAAAAATACCTGGAAGAGGTGCTTGCATAGACAACGTTTGCACGATAACTAGACCGTTCAATCATCTTTGCTTTCTCAAGAGTTTGCTTCTCATTCGTGTATGTCCATCATGCCTTTTAATTGCAGAAATTTAACACCGACGGGCCAGCGCTATGAGATTTACCAGATAGTTTCCACTCAACAGTGAGTTTTCTATCTTCCTCCATGAATACTTGTATCGTCGTTTCGTTGACTGCACGGACTGCTCAAACTCTGCGGACCAAGCGCGGCGCGGCTGAGTTGTCGCGAGAGCACGACTTGTACAATGGCGAACTTGTACTGGGGCAAGAGTTCTACTCGCGGCGTGTGCTCCGCAGTGATGTCCAGTCCGTGCAGTCAATGAGTCAAATACAGTTTCCGTGTACCTACGGTCAATGCACTGCACAGCGATGAAAGCAGACTCACTTCGCGCTCGCAATCAGATCAGTTTTTTAGATTTAGGAAAGCTGTCACGGTCCATTGAGTTTACCAAAAAGACAAGTGTAGACCAGATTGGACTCTACAGTATAATCTACCTTTTTCGCGAGGCTGTCAAGTCCAAGAGGTGCACTCTCTTGACTTGAATCCTTCACCCTGATTGTTTTACTTTGTATGAACATGACATCATGACTAGAATCTTTATTATATATTTATAAATAGAAAGAGAGGGGAAGGGTAACCGCCGGTCACCCGGTTAGGCAGCTCATCTGTGGCCGTATTCATCAACGAAACCCGTGGGTTCCGGAACCCACTGGGTTAATGCTTTTGATGAATATCGATTCTTCCCTGAAGTAGAATCGATATTCATCAAAAGCACTAACCCAGTGGGTTCCGGAACCCACGGGTTTCGTTGATGAATACGGCCACTGGAGTTGCTGGGGCACCGCCCAGTTGGCGTGGAGACTGTCGGACCATCTAATTAGTCTGCGTCTCGACATGTCCATTCCATAGTAAAGCTCGTCCCGAGCTTTCATCTTTGACCATGGCTAAAGAGTGGGAAATCGTCATCAAAGCTGCCCATGTACCATTTGTTTCGTCGTGGGGGGCAGGAGATTATTGTGTAGTTGTCATCATCGTCTTCAATACTGCCCATATACCATTTGTTTCGCGGCGGCTGTGATTGAGTGCAGAAAGGTGTGGTTGAAACCATTATCGTCATCAAGATAGCCTATAAACCAATTGGTGTTGTTGCTTCGGTTGAACGCAGGGTTTGTGCTGTTGATCGCTCAGTGGGTTTCGTTGCTGGATCGCTCTTCGCGAATAAGGACAGGGGGAAAAGGGCTTATTAGAAAGGCACGGCTCTCGCACGCCCTGTCAAAAGAAAGAGCTCGTCTCGAGCTGAGAATCAAGCGCAGCAAAATGATCTTGGAAATGGGATAGTTATCAAACTGATTTGCGGGTAAGGTAATTAGGAACGGATGAATGCGATAATGATGATATCAAAACGTCGTAGATGGGCTTTATCCGAGCGGAGGGAACAAGTATTGCAATGCTTCTCACGAGGATAAAACAACATGGTATAAGCGGCATAGTTTGAAAGTCGAATTGGGATATGTTTGAAATTTTGATATGTGGCGATGGGGTTGTCGTAAATATTGAAGAAATACATATACTTGAGAAATGCAGACAACAATAATGCAAATCAAATCAAGCAATAATCGCTATTGTGACAGAACGTTCAAAATTTTGACGTTTTGAAGATTCGTCGTTACAACATTCAAAAAAAAATCAAGGGCAACTAAAACATGAAATTTTCGAAATCTATCATGTGAGCAACTCATGAGGGAACACTTCCCTAATGTTGCCCACAAGGGCGTGGGGTGAAATTTTGAATGACTGAAAGGCTTCTCCGAGTCGCCCATCGGAGAAGTCTTTCTTGATATAGTGCAGACGCTTGCGGCAAACTTACTCTGCCAGTAGCCGCTGCGTAAGTGAAATTATTGTGTGTGGGTAGATTTGAACTCACGTCGCAGGATTCAGAGTCCTGAGTGCTAACCGCTACACCACGGGACCTCCATGTCAAGTCCAAGAGGTGCACTCTCTTGACTTGAATCCTTCACCCTGATTGTTTTACTTTGTATGAACATGACATCATGACTAGAATCTTTATTATATATTTATAAATAGAAAGAGAGGGGAAGGGTAACCGCCGGTCACCCGGTTAGGCAGCTCATCTGGAGTTGCTGGGGCACCGCCCAGTTGGCGTGGAGACTGTCGGACCATCTAATTAGTCTGCGTCTCGACATGTCCATTCCATAGTAAAGCTCGTCCCGAGCTTTCATCTTTGACCATGGCTAAAGAGTGGGAAATCGTCATCAAAGCTGCCCATGTACCATTTGTTTCGTCGTGGGGGGCAGGAGATTATTGTGTAGTTGTCATCATCGTCTTCAATACTGCCCATATACCATTTGTTTCGCGGCGGCTGTGATTGAGTGCAGAAAGGTGTGGTTGAAACCATTATCGTCATCAAGATAGCCTATAAACCAATTGGTGTTGTTGCTTCGGTTGAACGCAGGGTTTGTGCTGTTGATCGCTCAGTGGGTTTCGTTGCTGGATCGCTCTTCGCGAATAAGGACAGGGGGAAAAGGGCTTATTAGAAAGGCACGGCTCTCGCACGCCCTGTCAAAAGAAAGAGCTCGTCTCGAGCTGAGAATCAAGCGCAGCAAAATGATCTTGGAAATGGGATAGTTATCAAACTGATTTGCGGGTAAGGTAATTAGGAACGGATGAATGCGATAATGATGATATCAAAACGTCGTAGATGGGCTTTATCCGAGCGGAGGGAACAAGTATTGCAATGCTTCTCACGAGGATAAAACAACATGGTATAAGCGGCATAGTTTGAAAGTCGAATTGGGATATGTTTGAAATTTTGATATGTGGCGATGGGGTTGTCGTAAATATTGAAGAAATACATATACTTGAGAAATGCAGACAACAATAATGCAAATCAAATCAAGCAATAATCGCTATTGTGACAGAACGTTCAAAATTTTGACGTTTTGAAGATTCGTCGTTACAACATTCAAAAAAAAATCAAGGGCAACTAAAACATGAAATTTTCGAAATCTATCATGTGAGCAACTCATGAGGGAACACTTCCCTAATGTTGCCCACAAGGGCGTGGGGTGAAATTTTGAATGACTGAAAGGCTTCTCCGAGTCGCCCATCGGAGAAGTCTTTCTTGATATAGTGCAGACGCTTGCGGCAAACTTACTCTGCCAGTAGCCGCTGCGTAAGTGAAATTATTGTGTGTGGGTAGATTTGAACTCACGTCGCAGGATTCAGAGTCCTGAGTGCTAACCGCTACACCACGGGACCTCCATGTCAAGTCCAAGAGGTGCACTCTCTTGACTTGAATCCTTCACCCTGATTGTTTTACTTTGTATGAACATGACATCATGACTAGAATCTTTATTATATATTTATAAATAGAAAGAGAGGGGAAGGGTAACCGCCGGTCACCCGGTTAGGCAGCTCATCTGGAGTTGCTGGGGCACCGCCCAGTTGGCGTGGAGACTGTCGGACCATCTAATTAGTCTGCGTCTCGACAAGGCAAGACACTGTTCGAAATATTCGCCTGTACCTGAGGCTTACAGTCTGCCCTAGTCCAAACCAGGCCAAAATTGGCATGGCGGGAGTCCGCATCGTGAAGGTATTGCGTCACGTTTACGGATAGCCAGTCTGCTCTCTGCTCCATTGCTTCGCTTTCTGCGACAGCGAGCATATGCAGCGTAAACCCCTAGCGCTGCGGGTGCGCAGATTCTGCCGACGGTTCGGCCTGATCCCGATTGGGGCAGATTGTACATCTTGTCGTTAGCACAGTAGCGCCTACATAACGAGACCATCCCACTGGCAAAAAATTCTGGCGTTGGAGCTAGTCGACCCAATCAAAAAGCGGTAACAAGCCAGTGAAAGCGATGTCTGACCTTTGGGTCTCGAAGACGCAGTTGGGTCTCAAAGACGCAGAATAAAGGTTCCCTCCAGATGGTCAGCATATACGGGACGAGACGAAAATAAGAACTTTTGAGTTGTCACGGTTCTTCTCGTGATTGGTGATCTTTTTTACTAATCTTTGTATTTTCAAAAGTTTACCAGCTCTCAAGAAGTAACTGTAAATAGATAGTGTTAAAGATTTTTTGAAAATTCTTCCAAATGTAATCTGACCGTCTCTGGCGCTTTTTGAACTTGGCTGTATGCCGTTTATGATCATAAATCTTAATAGCTTATGTCAAATCTTGATATTTTATGTCAGTGGGTCATTGTCTTATCTGTTTGCTTATTTACAAAACAATACATTTACCTGTGCGCACAATAAGTGCGCACAAGTAACCTGCTGACGTGCTGATCCACCGACCTTCCGCTAATCAGATCTTTGACATGCGAAGTTTCCGCCGACAATTCTGGAGGTAATTCTCTAGAAAATTCCCAAATTCGCCAAATTTTCCAGAATTCAATAACTTAAGTTATTCGCTCTACTCCACACTACTTAAATCGCCGGCCACTTTCTAAGGTGGTATGTTTTTGACCTATGAGACATTTTCAATGTCTTTTTCGACTTATTTTACTGTTTTTTTTAGTTCGATTGCATACTCTACTCTCCTACGTCTGCCTCCTTGCAGCATCATCTAGTCACATTCAATTGAAATGTGCACTACATGCATGCCCGTAGGGAAGCACACGTTTTTTTATGATGAGTATGAAGTTTTTTCCGTCCATATCAAAAACGCAATCAAATAAAAATGCATCACCTTCATTTGGTAGCGTGATCTACATGGATTGATTTTGGTAGCGACCTTTTCTTTGCTGCACGCATCATGCTTTTTATAGCGGAAAAATTTCAAATGCACGTTCGTAAATTTTACTAGGAATGAGAATTTAAGTAGATGATAATTTTCTTGGAAAACTACAGAGATGCACTGAAGTGTCAGAAGGAAATACGCATTTGATAAAGAATTAGCGTAGATCACCAATTTGAGTTATAATTGGCCTTTAGAAGGGTTGTTACACAAACTTTGATTACGTGGGCTTTCCTTAGTAACATCAAGCAGCTCACATTAGCAATATGATGTGACGATGCACGACGTTATAAGGATCGCACACACAAGAGATATAAATGGAAAAAAAGCAAAAAAAACAGAGTTCGAAAGAATTCAAAGGAGATTCATAAGATCTTGAAAATGAAAAGACTTCGAAAATGTCCCATAAATCACAAACATACCTGCTGGGAAGTAGGGCTCAGAATACCAAACATTCAGAGGATGGTACCGTGTTTGGTTAATTCAGCGTGATTGGCTTGCATTCCATAATGCAAGAGCCGCACGAAAGGAGTTGGTGATCTTCGAAAATACGAGCCCTTCGCGGAGCACTCGTCCGCAGTCATCGCAGCGCATGCGCGCGCGTCCTGGTTCTAGATTACTGTAGGGAACGGTGGGTTTAGAAGGGCCGTCTCCCAGCCAATTGCGCCCGAGGTCAGGCATACGCCATCCGCCGAAATAGCACTTTTCACGTCCGCAAAGCGAATCATTGATATCTTCTGAAGCTGTAAAGCACAGTTTTGGACTTAGCTCATCCACGGGAGCCGGAGATGTCATTCTGCCGAGCCGCTGGCTTTGAGTTGGATATAAGAACAGTGGTAAACGCATGGTTACAGTTCAAAATTTTTTATCGCTTTTTCAGAACTCTTATCGTGGTGATATAATTTTGGCACAGGTTTACTTCCCTTGTGAAGTCAATGTTTGCCGAGAAGTACCCGACCGAATGTAATGATCATGTCGAGTTAGTGAACGTTAGATATGGAACTTGTCTCATTGTTTATGGAAAACATAAGATTTATCGTATGCAGTATTGATGCATGACGGTTATTGTTATCATAAGAAATTATGGGGCCTGTACTTTGAGCGAGCTTATTCCGAAAGTTGCATTTCGTTAGCTGTAAGCAACGTAATTTTTTAAATATAGATTTTAGTGTGCCTTGCTTCATTTTTTATGAAGATGATTCTTTTGTTCCACGTGTTTGAAACAAACGCTACTAACGCCTTGGAAACTCCGTAAATTAGAATAGGGTAGGGGAAATCATGCCGGCGAAGGATATCTCTGAAACCCTTGCATCTCAATTTAGCCTTGTCAAGCTGTTAACATTAACATTAACATTTATTGCATAGGGTTCCTATGCATCAACACAACATAAACAATAACGAACGAACAAGAGATTGAAACAACAAAAAGAATGAGGTAGATGAACATAAAAGTCAGGTCTGTAAAGGAGAAGATAGATAGTTTTTGAGAATGGTTTTAAATTGTGCCAATTTAACAGGAAATCTATTCTTCCTAACAAACTTATCAATATCATGAGTAACTCGGTTTACAAAGAAAAACCGCCTCACATTTTTCCTAGGCCGCGATAGTACTATCTTGTCTGAGCCTCCTCTAGTTATGGAACTTCTTCTCTGGAAAAACTCTGAAGCATTGAGATTGCAACTTCCGAAAAGAATCTTATGAGCCATTATCAGATCAAAAGCGCGTCTTCTAGTAGCAAGAGGCTCAAGACCCAAATTGTTATTTCGAAGGGTGTAGTTAGGGATACGATCGTATACAAATCCATTGCTCCTTATCAGCAGTTTCCTAGTGAAACTGTTTTGTACTTTTTCAATTGCATATATACTCGTCTTCTTGTAAGGATTGAACACAACAGTTCCGTATTCAACTAAAGGTCTGACATAAACTTTATAAGCTCTTACGAGAAGATCGATATCATTCGTTGAGAGGGCTCTATACAAATTATAAACTGCATGCATTCCTCTCGCAGCAATAGATTGACAATGTTTATCAAAACTTAGTCGATTATCCACCAGAAATCCAAGATCCGTCACCTCAGTTACATAATCTAGGATGTCCTGTCCTATAGTGTAGGAATATTCCACAGATTTTGGCCCTAGAGACAATACCTTTGTTTTCTCACGCGAAATAGGCAATAGCCAGTCTTCCGACCATCTAACAACGAGATCTAAACCATCTGTACCTTTTCTTTATCTGCGCGCTCAATGACTGCACTGTAGATTTTGAAGTCATCAGCGAAAGCACAGCATCCAACACCAGCTCCCAGCACAAGGTCAGGAAGGTCATAAGTATAAATATTGAACAAGATTGGGGATAGAACCCCACCTTGAGGCACTCCACTCAGCATAGGTCGTAGACTAGAAAAGCTTTCATTAACTCGGACTGTAAATGAACGTTCATGTAAAAAGGCCTCAATCCAAGCTATAACCTGGGGATGGATGCCAATCATTTTTAGTTTGACTATAAGTTTGGTATGAGAGACCTTGTCAAATGCTTTAGTAAAATCTAGGTAAATGACATCAACCCCTTTGCCTGCGTCTAATGCCCGAGTCCAGTCATTCAGCGAATGCAACATCGCCGTAACCGTTGATTTGCCTGCTTGAAACCCATGCTGAGCGTTAGAAATGATACCACGACTGGTTAGATGATTAACTATTCTTTTCTTTAACACTTTCTCAAACAATCTAGCAAAAACGGAGGTAATACTTATAGGCCGGTAGTTTTTAGGGGAGGTGTGAGGCTTCTTTTTAGGTATGGGAGTTACATACGATATTTTCCATCTGTATGGAACTTCTGCACTAATCAAGCTCAAGTTAAATATGAATTGCAGGGGTTTCGCAATGATATGGGCAACCTCTTTGATGAATCGATGAGGTATATGATCAGGGGTCAGAGATTTTGATTTTGGCCATCTACGAAGAAGTTCAAAAATCTCACTTTCATCAAAATATACAGAGTCCATAGCTTCAAATCGCGGTGTAACATTTTCGGAAACACTTGATTCATCTCTCTGAAAAACCTTTTCGAAAACATCTGCAAAACACTCTGATTTTTCAGCATCAGTATTTATGGCTGCACCATCATCAGCCAAAAGAACTCCCAACTTCATCCTCTCTTTAAGCCTTGAATTAAGGAGCTGGTAGAACGCTGATCTGTTTCCACTGTTTATGGTTTTCTTTTCCAAGTAAGCCTGATATTTTTTTAATCGCTTTAAGTATCTATGATTTATCCTTTTGTATAATGTAGAAGCAATTCCTCTTCCATTAGCTCTCGCTTTATACCAAGCTTTTGCTCTAATACGCGAAAGCGTCACAAGATGTTTCGGAATGCTCGGCGTATTTCGCGGTACAGATATGAGCGGCACGTAAAGTTCAATTGTATGCTGAAGGATAAAAATCATCATCTCATACATATCATTGAGTGAGCCTGCTGCATGAAAGGAGCCTAGCCAGTCAATTGTTTCCAGATAGCTGATAGCTCCTGCCATGTTGGCATTTTTAAAGTCCCTTCTCAAAACGCATTTGACTTTAGTTCTACATAGGTCCTCCAAACGAAAACTTATCAAGGCATGGTCACTAGAGCCCACCGGTGGATTTACCAGGACATCCTTTATTAATTCTTCATCATTAGTTAAAATCAAGTCTAATATGCTTTTCCCCAGCGTGCAGGTGGTTACTTTTTGAACAAGGCGATGATTCAAACACATATTCATGAACAATTTAGCTGCAGGACTTGCTTTGTAGAATTGAAAAGAATTCCAATCAATTCCCGGAAGATTGAAATCACCCAACAGTACTGATGGGTAGCTGCACGCTATGAGATCTGTAATAGCTTTAATCATTTGCCTAATGTTTCGAGCTGTGCATGACGGCGCCCTATACACAAGTATCAAACGCATTTGTTGGCGACTGGTTACGATATCGGAGCAAATCAATTCATATCCATCAACGACTGATTCAGAAAAAATCAATTGTGGATATAGTTCCCTACTAATCAATACGGCCACCCCTCCTCCAATTTTAGCCTCTCGATCACACCTATATATTTCAAAAGAATTATGAAAGTTTCCCAAGATAGGCAAATCACTGATGGTACTTTTGAGCCATGTTTCAGTAAGGCAGACTATCCAGGCAGGAGAAGACCGAAGAACAAATGTGAGGGGCAGTGCATTTTTAGAAAGAGATCTTATGTTTGTTAGGAGGCACGGAATAGAACTATCTATCTTCCGAGGAAAAATCACATGTTTAAATCATAGCTACAACGCGACTGCAAATTACGTGAAGAAATGTCAATTCTATTACTCGAATGAGGGGGAGGATTTGATGAGATATGATCATGATCAACGACAAGCGAAGAACGATTAGGCTCAGGATTGCGATCTATCTTTTTCTTCCTTTCCTCAGGGGGAAGGGAAGGTCTTATATACAAACCTTGCCTATAAGGGAAATATTTCAAACGGGAAGCACGCCTGAGCGTGAGCCTAACAAAGTAGGAGGATGGCATAAGAACTTTTAGTAGCCTATCACGATTAGCATTCGGTTTACCCATGCGGTATACCGAAATCGGGCGACAATCTATCGATAAAAATTCCAATATTTGACCCACACAGTTGAAGTCGTTGTTGATCCTTTGACTACTGTTGCCATAACGGTATTCGGGTACTCCAATAAACACGAGCGAGCGCTGCCTTTCGAGCTCTTCATATGTGGAGGCATGTGGTGGGGGGCTCGTTGAAGTCGGCGGGCTGGTGCTGGAACTATTGACAATTTTCTTCAAATCAGAATTTTCCGCTCTCAGCTTCGCCAGCTCTTCTTTCAAAAGCCTAACGTCGTCGCGCAACTCACTATTAGACTGGAGAATAGCGTCCGTTTGTTTATGACTTTCCAACAAAATTGAAATAATGGCTCGAGCGTAAACAGGCAAACCGTCATCCTTGGCCAGATCGGCCGCCGCCTGCAGTAGATCGGGTGACGCGCGTGGTGATTCGGCCAAATCCAGACGTCGCTTCTTCCAGCGATCCGCAGGAGGAACAGGATAAGAGGGCGTATCCATAAGTTTAGAAGAAAGAATAGCAGTAGCGAATATCAGCGTCGAAGGAAAAAATAGGCTGCCGAACGTCGGGTTGGGTTGGCTGAGACGAGACGGCGCAAAAAATCGACCGCTCAGGGTGAGCGAGGGTCGCAAGAATGAGCGAGGAATGTTGAATCGTTGGTGACGTCACGTCCTCTACCAACTAATGGTTTGAAATATTACAGACTTGGCTTAAAGAGGGTTCAGTCAAAGCCCGTCGCTAATATATCGAACTAATGGAGTAGGGATGTATCAGGCAATCACAACATGTTCTGGGATCAGTAGACTCAAGACGCCACTATGGACAAGGGTTGCGACTTACACTGTGATGAGGAAGTCACCAGCGGTCAAACATGTTTTACTTTGGATTATTATGCAATATATCAAAAAATATATAGTACTGTAATATATTGGGAAATATTTTAATATACAGGGTGTTCCAAAGGTAAGTACACACTTTTCAATCGTTAATATCTCTTTTCTCATTGCGTTTTTCCGCCATTCAAGTACCATTCTGCAGAGAAGGCTTCAACTTTAGATTTACAGTATCGAGCGAATACCAGAACCGCTCTTCATTACTGTGGGATTGCTGTAGGAGCTTCGACAAGGATTTTAGGCCATTGGAAGCCATACCCTGCCAACGAAACCAAACAAGGTAAAAACTCTTATACTATGGTAATGGAAGCCACTGATTTCGAATATGAAATATCACTTTACTGTGATGCTTCTTTCCGAAGTTATCTCAAGTAAACCACAATAACAGTTCTCCCAGTATTTGTGATTACACTGTCAAAAAAGCTGAAAACACTCGGAGAAAGTTGTTAGGTGGAATCAGCATGCGGAAAAACCCTAGCACACGATTTTTCAGATTTTCTAAATAAACATTTTGTTAGGTGGTATATTTCACAATGGTTCCACATGCTGGAATTTCTTACCGTAATCCTACAGTAGTGATGAGCGATCGGTGATCCGCTCCTTAGTGTAAATCTAAGTTGAAGCCTCCTCTATGGAATGGTACAGGGCTTTACAACCTGAGTGTCACAGCCGCCCCGCTCGGCCGCCACGCTTAGGGCCGCGCAGCGTTCGCGGCGCAAGCTGCGCGTCGACTGAAGCTTCGCAAAATGCCCGGGCGATGCGCCGCAAGCGCCGCGCGCGGCCTGAGCGAGGCGGCCGCGTTGGAGGAGCCGCGCAAGCGGAGGCTGTGACTCTATGTTGAAAAGCCCTGTACTTGAATGGTGGAAAAAGACCCAATGGGAAAAGAGATATTAACGATTGAAAAGTGTGTACTTACTTCTGGGACACCCTGTATATAAGCATTCTATTCCACATTCCTTTCTCAACTTTTGCACTTTTCGCAGTAATACTTTATTGCGTAAGTACGGTATGCACATTAAATCTTTATACTACTTATAGCAAAATAATTTCTATCATTACAGTAATGACTTCAAGGTTGCCACAAAAAACAACACTCTGAAGCAGTTTTATATACAGAGATTCTGCCTATCTAGCTCTGATCCTGTAAGAAGCACACATATGCTGCATGGAGCATTGCAGGTATCCAAAACAAAAAGCAAAGAACTACGTTGAGGCATACTGGGCATCCACACTGTTTTGTATGCCAATAGACTGCCACAGGCTATAATGGGGTTATCAACACTGCAAATAATCCGATAAGTACGACTTACAGGTAGAATTAGAATGCAAACGATTTCGATTATAGTGTCTTTGGTGAACTCGATCGCCATGTTTATTCAGTAACCTGTAAAGCATCAGGTTTGAAAAACACTGACAACATATATAACATTTCCTACCTACTCCAAGTTCTAACCAGGAAGTACCTAGGAGAAAAGACAAATCTCCCCATGCCACATTTGATTTTTTTTACTCATGCTTCAATATGGAAATATGTAAAAAATGAAGCAAATGATGCACTCTTCTTTCTGCACGCTGCAAATCAAACACAACCTAAAAGTGAATCATCTCTCATACTCCTGACGACACAACGAGTAGCGATTGAAGATCACATCAGAATTGCATAGACTTGCAAAGGGCTTGCTTGTTCTTATCATATCTTCTCAAAGTTCTGCATGTTAAAGTCATAAAGGTTTGGTACAAGTTGAATTTTTAGGTTTATCATTGGATGTTCTGTGCTCGAACGCCTGGCTCAGATATCTTAAAGGAGATAAGAAGACAAAGAACGGCATTCAATGCTGTCACAATGGCGTGCGCCTTATTGGGATCATACCATATTATACTCTCAGTGGCGGTCAAAGGATTTCCGATCGGGGGAGGGATAACAAACATTCTTTCGAGTGAAGATGCGTGGCGTTATGAACGCACTCCGAAAAAATTTTCGGGATGCTCAAATTTTTGCAGGTTCATGACCCCGAATTTTAGGAAAAGAGGGCGCACAGCAGCCGTGCGCCGAAATAATTTTTTGCAGAGTTAATTTGAATTTTTGAGAAATTTTAAAATTATTCTAATTATCTACAAGTATTAACAAGTCATTGTTCCGTAACACATGTATGTTTCTAAAGATTTTGCGATCCATCCCCGAGGGGGGAGGGGGGAAGGGGGGAGGGAGTGTCTGGTCCGCCACTGATATTACTATATATATACTCGATTGACGCGATAACTGAGATAAAATGGTTGAGAGAGATAAGCAGCTTTTCAAGTTACACTATTCAAAGTGGTATGCAGTGTATAAAGTTTTTAAAAGTCGTTACATCCAGAAACACGACATCCAGTTAAAAAAAATGCACGTCGCGATTCTTGGGTCATATTAAATCCTCTCCAAACTAATGTTAGCTTTTCCGGATCGTATCCGCAATAATATACCCACCTCGGCGTTAAAAACTCCTAGATATCTATAAGTAGAGCAGTGTCTGGGCAAGGTTAAGAAACTTTTAGGTAAGCGCGAGAAGATTGCTCGAGAACTTTGACAGTACCCTAACTTTGATAACTTTGATACAACCCTTTTTGGTGAATTCCCCATTTGAGGTATTTCATTGGTCAGTACGCATAGCGCCACGTTTTATAAATTATCATAGTTTGTGCGTAACCCAACCCGGACTGCAGTTGCCCAGATTTGTCCAGGTTCGAATCAAAGCTTTCGAGCCTTACAGTTTCCGCATTCTTCAAAGTATATTTTTGCAGCGGATAAGCTGTAAAAATTGAGAGTTGAGTATATGCCTCCTTTTCATTAACGCATTCTTTTCTTGAATTAGTTCCCAAAACTACAGAATTAGCATAAAGAATGACCTTGGAAATCAGTACTACATAAATCAATTATTTCTTACCTGCTTGGCGAAAAATTAATTTGTGTAGTATGCAGGTAGTGCAGGGAAGATGTGAAGGTTTAGTGCGCGAAGAGTACTGATCAACAAATGATACTGATGAGTGAACGGAAGACGCTTATCAATGACCCATACTTAATCCAAAAACTTTTTTTTCTAACTTCTTGGCGTCAATGAATGTTTAATCTACTCTGGTATCGCGATATAACACTCTGGGTGTTAAAGAATAATTCCATGAGTCAGCAAATAACAGCATTGTGAAATCAGACTACAACTATCAAGTTCCATAGAACTTGATTTTCACACAAAAACGTGTTTTCCATTGAAGTTTGTGATAAAACTTCCTTCAGATCGCCCCAATAAAATAAAACTGCCAATTGCGGAAGCTCTCGATAAGAAGAAAGAGGGCTGTTCAAATTAGATGGACACAACAACTGCTCTCCCTTACTTAGAATGTTTTTAGGAACCTGCACTCCAGCAACATTTTTAGCTGTCTTTTAAATATCCCAAAACTTTTTTTTCAATGAGCTTTATAACAGCTGATAAAGAAGCAATCTGCAAAGGTGTGCAGAGCATTTTGAGAAAAAGCCACACTTTGACAAATCAATTCCAAATGTTTCGATTGACACCATGCTCAGTAACAGGACCTCTGCAGTACTTTCTGTGTGTGAGATATTATATTGTGCCTTGCGAATCGTGAGAGATTAGGTATACGGAATATAAAAGACGGAACAGTTTGTATACTTGTGGAAGATCTGTATGCACTAAAACATTGTATTTTGTTCATATCAGTCAATTACGCAGCCTTCAATTCACCGCCGGAAGTATCGACGTTACTATTGGTATGGGTTTAGGATAAAGGATGAAATTCGGCGTCTTCAATACCCTCTGAGGGCATGCGCAGAACGCACACACTACTTCATAGTCGAAGAGACAATTGTATGCGTGCGAGCCTATCAAAGTGACTTAGGCAGATAGGCATTGGTATGGTTTGCATCACTGAGATCTTAATGATATGATTTACTAGCGTTGGCTTACAGAACCTCTACTCAATTCAGCAGCAAAATCTCACCCTTTTGAAGTTTTTGGAACAAAATTTAGGTTTAGTGTCGTAAAGTCTTCTAGAACCGTATGCGTGCACACTGGAAGCGAAAATTTTATCTCTGAACACACTCTGGAGGCCTCAGATGCCGTAAGCTACAAAAGACTGCCGTGGGTTTCACTTATAGTCTTCATTACTCATTCCAAACCTGATTCTCAAGGTCAAGTAAAGAAGACATGTATGACTTCTACAAACAAAACCTGCGATAGATAGTGGCTGATTTTACGACTGGATGAACGACTGCAGGATTAGCATTACAGGCTCTGCTCCAGAATGTGTGAAACAGGACGGGTGGAAGGTGGTAGACTGCGCCATGATTTTGGCACATGGAGGGTACTGCATCTACTGCATCGTATGCATGTCCGAAACTTAAAGATTGGAATTGCCACTTATAGGCTGCTGCACGACGAAGGCGCAATATCTTTGGGCGCGAACGCGGCTTTACTAGCCGCAGCGCGCATGAGGCGCAGAGCTACAACGGTAGAGATACGCGCGCGTTGGTTTGCGCCCGCTCAACTAATACTGCTTCTGCGCCTTCGTTATGCAGTAGCCTTTATGTATTAGGGTGGAAAAATTCCGGACACTTCCAGACAAATCCTTTCGCAATTCAGTGCTTGTACATGAGCGAAAACTCGCAGCTATACTCTCTCCCTCCCTTTCTCGCATGTAGCCAATGTTCAAGCAAGTGAACTGAGTCTGGGATCAATGGGGCGGAGTTTGCCACTCTTCAATTACCGCGTTCTTCTTATTGTTCAAGCTAATTCTGCACAAGCTGTGCATGTAGATGCGTAATATGTCACCTGCTGGTTTCCCTCCCGTGTTAGAGTCGTTTTTCGCCGTTTTCGCGCTCTCCAATGTGCATTTTCGGATTCAGCGTAGCGAATAGGCCGAGGTAAGCAAAAAATCACAAGATCGAGTTTTTGCCCGGATACTGCCTTTAACTCGTGGTAGAATTCAGGAATTTTGCGCCCATGATTGGTGTAATGAATACAAAAGTTTTTTTTTATCAAAAATGTTTCGGAAATTGAGTTGCTACACGTCATACTTTTGTTACATCGAGACTTCGGGCCAAGTTAATGTCTTCGCATTTTGAAACTTTGCTCTTGAAAAATATTTTGAAAAATGCTAAAATGATAAACGTCTTTTCTATAAATGGTACTTCATAATTATGAAGCCTCATTTGATTATAAGCAAAAAATGGCACCGCATTGGTGTACTTATGCATGTGCAGTAGTTACTGACTTTACTTTTGCCCCTGAGGAACTTTTTTTCAAATCTAAAAATGTTACTAAACCTAAATGAAGCCTCTAAGTATTAAGTCGATCAGCTAACATTTCGCTGTCTTTGTAAACGGCTTCAATTATTTGGCGTATTATTAGGTCGTTCCGAAAGTTCTTTCCGTTTTTTCAACCTATCATGAAAACACATGGAATAAAGATAAGGAAACGTTTCTAGCACAATCCGACGCAGCTTTTCTTCCCCTTTTAAATTCTCATATCGGCATGCCGCTTGCTCTTGTGGACACTGAGATAATTGCCAAATTTTGGAAACCATGGTTCTTACCATGTGTAACTTTGGCAATTATTCATAGTCTTCATTTTTGATTTTTGGAAGACTTTGATAGCAGACAGATAGAGTAAACAAAGTGCAATGTAATGCAATTTTTTGGCATGTATAGCTAGCCTTAAAACATTTTTGGAATTATTTTTCTGATGCTATCAACTTCTTTTGTTGATGCCAAGAGCCATAGAACATGAAACGGAGTTGGCTAAGATGTCATTCGATGCGGCTTTTCCTCCCTTTTTAAAGAGTGTTTTTGTACTTGGCGGTAAAATTTCCATATTCTTATTTTGAACCCGCTCCAGTATGCACACGTAAGATGCGAAATCTTCTATCTCGAGCGGTAATGCTCAGTTGTTTCGTAAAATTTGTGGATAATCGTAGTCGACTTTTAAAAGTTTTAAAATCCGATGGTTTGTCAGTGTTCGGTGCGTTTGATATTGTGACTGCGCAAAACTGATAATTCTGGAAAAGCTGCTATAAAAAATACTGAGAAGTTCGTTTAAATTGCTAAAAATTGCATTGCACTTTGTTTATGTTATGTAACTGCCATCGAATCTTTTCCCAAAGTTCGAAAGAAAGGTTCTGAAAATTTGTCAAATTTGAACATGGTAGAACCATGGTTTCTAAATTTCGGCCATTATCTCAGTGACCACAAGAGTAAACGGCATGTGGATGTGACAGTTCAAAAGAGGAAGAAAAGCTGCGTCGGGTAGTGCTAAGCGTTTCCCTATCTTCTTTCTTCGTTTTTATGATAGGGTTATAAAACGGAAAGAACTTTCGGAACGACCTAATTATTGACTCAACGAACGACTTTGATTTCTGTCTTTTTGAACATGTTATCAGCTTATCGCCCGATTAGAGCTGAGACCGATGGCCTTTTTATAAGAACACACGAGTTAAACCGAACATAGATTAATTGAGAACTTTTGTTTTTTTTTGTTTTCAAATTAATCGAGGAACCTACATTTGATCACAAAAGCATTCTATTGCTGTATGCTTTTTCTTATATAAATATTGCCCAAAAATGACGCAAAGATCTATCGACTAAGCCTATCACAAGTCTAGGAAAGTTGGTTCAGTGATTCATTGAGAAGTCACGTCTGGGCTACTTGATGTGAACAAGTCGACTAAAAAGAAGGCGTTATCTGAAAGAAGGCATCTACCAATGGAGTTTCCCCAGGGAAATCACGTGTATCAGGATCAAGCAGCGAAGTTATCGAGATATTTTCCATATTTTTATTAATAGACTCAAAAAATTAAATATAATATCACTTACTATTTGCTTACGTAACTTGCCTAATATCAACTTGATTTTATATCGCACGGTTCTCCAGGTCGCATAATGAAGTTTTTGTAGGTCATTATACTTGAAATGGGAATACCGCCGCTGAGTGTCGTCAAGGTTCTCGTAAAATCTCCCTTTCTTTACCTTTATGTATTGGTCAATATTGCGGGATCAAAAGACTACCACATAGATTTTACGCATATATTAGGCTATTAAAGGCAGTGGCTAGGCTAAACCTAACCCCCTCCCATCAGTGTCGATCCTGAATGTAGGCCCCAGAAAAGGGGCATCTGCGTTGGTCCGGTCTTCTAACGTTGTCTCTGAATGGAGATAAGGGGTCTGAAAGTCCCTGGCTGGGCGGAGTCTGATATCAGACTCCGCCCACCAGGGACTGCCTCCCGACACGTATTGACATGGTAGTGAGCAGAAGCTGCACACTGCACAGTGCAATGCAACTGCACCCATGCAGTTGCAGCTCCTTCTCGCTGGCCTGCCGACGGGGACAAGCGATTCGAAACTCGTCCGCGCCCTCAAGACAGGATCCCCAGAAATCGGGTTTTTTTGTGAATTTTGGAGAGTTTGAAGTTCGGAACTGTAATCAGGGCCACGGAAAGGCCCCAGAATGACGAAAACATGGGGGGCCATCTGGGGTGGACGCTGCCTTTAAAGTTATTCGTTTTTTGCATCTTTTTTACACTTTCGATTTTAAGGGAACCATTTTTCGTAAACACTGCCGCTATATTTGAAAGATCCTTTCTTTTAGATTTTCGTGCATACTTTCTTTTACATCAGACTTTGTTTATACTGTGGTCCCTAACCTTGTAATGACAGCAAAACTAATGTAAAAATTTTCGTTTGTGCTCTATTGCCGTGCGAGATCCAAAACAGCAAATTTCTTCACACATGTGAGTTTGCTGGGGACTTGCGCCATAACGTTCATTTAGAAATGATTTCGAAAAAACCTTGACTCTATAAATTTTTAGCTAAACATGACCCGTCATTGAGTTGCACAAAACCATGAGCTCCAATGGAGCTTTTGCTGTCTATGATTAAACCTAAAACAATTATAACTGAAAAATAAAAGATTTTCTTATCTGCCTGTGGCGAACAGAATCAAGAAACCGAAAAAATGCATTCTCAGCCATCAAAATAAGTGGATCCTTTCGAATTTTTTGCAAAAAATTTTCTCGAAAAAGTTTAGTCAGCAAAAGCTTAACGGTACTGCTCATCAAGAACTGGCTGCACAGTGAGCGTGCTTGCGCAGCCCTACTACATTCGAGATCATATGGGTTCTCATAGAGTTTTCTGCAAGGAAACATTTGGCGAATTTCGTCTAGAAAATCTTTCGAGTGTTGCTGCGTTAATTTCTGGGTATGCACATGAATGTTAAAGATTTGCAATTGTGGCACAATTTATTGCAATCGCAATGATTATCTTTACAAAGAGGCATGGTAATTCAAATTTAAAGTACGAGAACTGGCAGAACTTTAAAACAACTCAATGTTACTCAAGCCTTATACAATATCACTCACAGAATGTGCAAAATTTCCGTAAATGTCGCGAAACACCAGGACATTCCCGGAATTCCGCGACATTGTGGGAATTTCGCGAATTACGCAGCGCCATAACTTCCTTCGAAATGAATTTATTCTGAATCCGAAAGTAGCATTGTGTTTAGCTCGTCAAGGCAAATCTTTTGAACTATAGCATGTTTTTGGGTAAGGGAACCACATACACCATAAGGTTGCCGCCGCCTAGTTAGCGGAGTTCATGAGAGGTCACGAACTGGCACCAACGCTACTTTGCACTCAATTTGAACAGAAGAGAGTTGATTCTGCTCACGGTATCTCCGTCATCATCCTACAGCCAATGAAACCGGAATTTCTTTGAAATTTGAATTCAAAGTTCAGAAGCAAAATTAGTCCACTTGTATTTAGGGGTATTCTATCACGCTGATTCCGAATATATTAATCGTTTTGAAACCTAGGATTTTTTCTTTTTTGAATTGAAACTTGTTTCCACAAATAAAAATCTCAAAAATTCAATGTAAGGGTTTTCTGACATGCTGTTTCCGGAAAAGCTAATGGTTTCGCTCAAAACTTTGAACATTTTTTCCTCCGAAATTTTATTTATTTTCTACAAATTCTTTTGAATTTGGCAAATTTTTAGCCTGAAATTATTTTCGGCCTTTCCTTGCCCAAAGATATGGTCATTTCAATGCTCTGGGCGTTCTCGTCGGCGGTTTGTGTTTACACATCGGCGCATCTATCGTTGACAAGTTGGTTACCACGTGCACGGCAATCATAATTAATTGCAGGTAAACGAATCTCGCTAAATTATATGTATTCAGAATATTTTAGATCAAAGTAGCTTGGTAATTTTGGATTTTTATTTTTGGTGTCCAAAACAGCATGGGCCGTGACACTTGGATTGCTTCAAGGTGGTCTTTCTGAATAAGCAAATTTTAATTCGAGGTTGAGGTCCATTTCGAACTTGAGAAATTTTTGACATCTGTACGATCTTCGTTTTTCGATCTAAGGTATTATTGGAGCAAAATAGTTTAATCGAATTCGGATTGATTTTATTTTCTTAAACAGAGCAGATTTTTCCCGTCTGTTTTCCAGGTTTATCATAGTGAAATTTCCGATAAAAAATTCAAAATTCAAAATAGAAAAATTTTGAGGTTTTAAGCAAAACCACCAGCTTCTTCGGAAACAGCATGTCAGAAAACCCTTACATAGAATTTTTGAAATCTTTATTTGTGAAAACAAGTTTCAATTCAAAAAAGAAAAAAATCCTAGGTTTCAAAACGATTAACATATTCGGAATCAGCGTGAAAGAATACCTTTAAATACAAGTTTTTGCCCTAATTGGACAGATTTTACTACTGAACTTTGAATTCAAATTTCAAAAAAATTCCGGTTTCATAGACTGCAGGATGATGACGGAGATACCGTGAGCAGAATCAGCTCATCTTCGCTGCAAATTGAGTGCAAATTAGCGTTGCTGCCAGTTCATGACCTCTCATGAACTCCGCTAACTAGGCGGTGGCAACTTTATGGTGTATGTAAATGTCTCGATGTCAATATTCTTGATGTCTCGATTTCAATATTCTCTTGTAACTTTCTGCGGGGCTGTATATCAAAAGATTCGCCTCAACAAGCTGAGCAAGATGCTTTTTTCGGATTTAGAATATGTTTCAGAGGAAATAATGGCGCTGCGTAATTCGCGTGATTCGCGGGTTTCCGCAAAACCAGAAAGGCGCGGAGTTCCGCGAAAACCCTGATATCCGCGACATCACGGAAATTTGGTTCGTTTTGTGAGCGATAAAACTATAATTTGGGTTTTGAGAGAACAAAGACGCAACATATTTTACTGCAGCTTATAGAGCAAAACATGCTTTACAGAACAGTTTCCAGACATTTGCTCAAATTTTTAAGTTTGGAATCAAAGTGTAAAAAATCTCCGATACAAAATTTCAAAGCAGTTCAAAGAATTCATACTTGGATTTGCTCACGCATGTGCATAGATAAGCTGCTTCAAGTAGGTTTGAGTCAAACTTAGCATAAAGTGGTCAAAATTAACCCAGGCATACCAAATATGCTATATATAGTCGGACTCGTCTTGAAACGCTGATTACAAATATCTGTGTCAAGCCACTGTCTGGAAGGAGTTATGAGTTTGAATGTGCGATTTAGGATTGAGATTTATTTATCGTGCGATTTATTTATTTGATTTATCTATTCCATCCATTGTTGCAATCTTCTGTTTCTCCCTTTCTCTTCCAGGTTAGCTCCAAGGAATGAATGTCGAAGTACTGTTTCACTTTTTCTCCATCTGCTATGTACGCTTTTGGAATCTCCATTGTGAATTTCTTGTAGCAAGCCTGAACCATATATATACAAACCATGAGATTACCAAAGCTGAATATTTGGTATTTTATAGAATCAAAATACATTCATTTTCCTGAATGCCGGATATAAAAAGGCTCAGAAAATGAAGAAAAAACAAGCTTTACCCCTTTATAATCGCATCTATGATAGATATCGAGTCGTGGATTCATTTTGATCCACAACTTAGCACTGCCTGAAATCTTAAAGGACCCCGTGTTATCCAGTCCCACTTCGTCCAGCATTGTGTCAATAACTGAAAATAGAATTTGAATAGAGGCCAACTTCGCATCTCTAACTCACAGATTCCCTTATCGTACAGCTTTATTCTCACTCCAGTAGCGGGTTCGCGATTGCAGAGGAACTTTCCCTTCACCCCAACTGTTTGCATACGACGAAAAAGGCAGTAGCATAATGGGAGAAAGCATAGTAAGATCAAGGCTCGCATTCTGCTAATATACCCATTATTTCTCACACAAAAAGCATGTTCCTGAAGATGTCGGCATCGAGGAGAATAAACGAATCATAATATCTTCGGATTTTGTTTTTGATTTAGAAATGGTAAAATGCGTCAGTTAAGCATTGTATGTGCCAATTAGATTCTTTATGTAGACTTTATTGATCTAATGTTTCGACATCAGCGTTATCATCAGGTCTGGAAATGGATTCTTACTTGCTCACCATACTTTCAAGCTCATCTTCCCACTCTTTCAGTCTAGACTTAGTCTGAGACTCGCAGCATGAGATTCAGAGCAGAGAAACGAACAAACCTTGACTCCGCCAGTTAGCGACAAACTCGCATGTGATGGTTGACGGACTGAGTGTTTATTCAGTAACTTGAGGGCTTTCTGTGCGTCACTCTATACAGTAATTTAAATGGAGTTAAGCCCCTGCTGATAGGTAAGCATTCGTTTACATTCAACCTTTCTGATTAAAATCCATACGGCTTTAAACATTTCCTTGGATCCAGACTTGTATTTTTTATTGTGCATTTTGCCAGGTGATCATGTCCGCAATTGCTCAATCTTATGTCGTCTAGAGTGCTGTTGACTCTTCAATTGGCCAATGCTCTTTCATCTGAACGCTAGATTTCTACCTTTCTCCGACAACAGTCTTCGCCTAGAACTCCAGCTGCTACACCACACTAGTTTTTGCAGTCTCTTATTCTGCCATAAAAAACAACAATGTTTCATTACGCATTCGCTCATAAGCTCCGTTTCGAAATGCTTCCTTATTACCATTCGAGATATTAACTAGAATCACATCATCTTTCAGTTGAGCTCTATGAATACATTATATATTGCCCGAGTCTTGCTAACTTCTTCCGCAATATCGGCATGTAATGAGGGATTTTATCGCCCTAGGTTCCGGATACGATATTCGGAACGGTATGATGGATCTGCGTTGATGTTCCTGCGATGCAATGCATTGTTGCGTGGGATTTGTGATGCAAGCGTCGCTAATCCGCTCTTCGTAGCCCGTGCATACTTTTGGAGCAGTTCTTGTTATGTTATGAAGGACTGCTTTTTTATTTCTGCAGAAATATCCGATCTGGCATGGACCAACATGTGCTTCTTTATGATAATATTTCGCATTAACAACACCACGCTAAAGTTGATTCGAGTGTTGAGGTGAGAAAACCATCCTTTTTGTGGGGATTCTTTTTTGAGCTTGATGTAGTGGGACCGCTAGTTCCAAGTAGTTACCGAAACAGTACATCAGTATACAGGCTCTTTCAGATCTATTCACAAAGCATTTCGCAAGGACATGCAAGCTTTGGCCCATTGCGAGTACTAAAATTCGAGTTAATTTTCTTCCAAACCATCATAAGATATTACAGATCAAGCACGCTTGTATGCGAGTCAATACTTGTGTTTTACTCTGTCCATGAGTACTGATGGTCGTCATTGTGCTCATCTAACATCTCCCGAAGAACTTATGCAGTTTCGTTTCACAGCTAGGTTCACAATGAATGGACTCCATAGAAACGCTGACTTCCGTCTAGTGCAGTCGCTCTAGGAATCGTTGGGTGTTAGATAGAGTGCAGGTGCCTTGTCGAGAGCTCACTCACAATCTTATTCAGAAAAAACGAAACGCGGTTTGCCGGTCCTCCAACACAGCTATTTATGATAGAGAGCGTAATTGTGCGATGCAATTTTATGCGCTGCATTAGATGAAGAAAACTGAACGTTGGCATTGTTTAATTTCGACCTACTTACAAATTGTTTATAGACCGACGCATCTTCTCACACTAGTCCAAACTTCATATGATTTTCTACATTGACTTTGAGAAACTTTTTAGTCGCAGGGTCGCATCTGCTCGACGTAGTTCAGCAATTTCTTCGTCTAAAGTCTGCGGCACCACGACAAATTTGCCCCTTTGTCGTTTACGGGTACCGGAAAGAATGTTTTGCGAAAAATTCGCATAACTTCTTGAAGCCTTTTCATTCGTATCGGTTCAGGTTGGTCTTACGGTGATACTCGGACCTCTTCAACACCTTACGGATTTCCATCGAGAGAATGCGGAGTTTGTAGTCAGAATCTGGTGTAGGCTAGGCTAATTAAAGAAAGATCTGGGAACGGCACTGTTGGCAAGGATTTTTTTAAGCAATTTGCATGGCTGGGTATCGCTATTTTGCCTAATATCTCGATGTATCAATAATCGGTAAGCGGCACAAGCCTCCCACTTTTGCGAAAAACTGCGGGACCGATATTTTGTGCCGGTGAAAATGAGGGCCGAGACTGAGAAGTCTTAGTGCGCACAAAGTAAGTGAACCTTGCCTACCAGTCCTAGTGTGCGCTCAAATTTCTTAGTCTCGGCCCCTTATAATCGGCACAGTCATCGTCTTTCGCAAGGTGGTGGGAGGTTTGTGTCACTTACGTGATCCATTGCGACCTCTAGTTAGACAGAATAGCGACTCTCCCCCAACAACGCAGAGTGCTAAAAATTTTTTTATTGAGAATGTCGTTCCCCTTTTTTTTGTACAAAAACCGAATCTACACTTGATACTGACAACAAATTGATGGAAATTGATAGATGGAAATATTTGATGGAAATATTTTAGGTGTTGAAGAGGTTCGAGCACGACCGCAAGACCAACTTGAATTAATGCGAATGGAAAGGCAAAGGAGTTACGCAATTCTGTCAAACATTCTTTCCGGAAACCTGTAGGCGACGAAGTGAATTGCCATGATGCCGCAGACTTTGTGCAAACATAAGCTATAGGCGATTCATCGGGCGCAAAGACAGAGCATCACTGATGATGTCGTCGTCTCGCTGATTGAACGTCTTTCACCCCTCTTGCCGTTCCATTCTGCATAAGTAGCCTGTAGATCTTGCAAACACGACAGTCTACACGACCTGTAAGCAAGATTACAAAGTCAAGAGAACTAAATAAAATCTGGACTAGTGTGAGACGATGCGCTGGTCTATGAACAGTCTGTAAGTAAGTCAAGATTGGATATTGCAAATGTTCAATTTTCCATCATCTGATAAAGATGCAAAGTTGCATCGCGCGATATCGCTCAATGTCACCTGGAGTTCAAGTAGATCCATAATTAGCTGTGTTGGAGGACCGACAGATCGCAGTCGTGGTTTAAATAAGATCGTGAGCCAACTTGTTGACAAAGGTATCCGCATACTTCTCTAATTCCAACAATTCCTAAAGCGACTGCACATCACGAAATTTGAATCTGGTGTTTTTATGGAATCCTTCTCCTTGTGACTTCTCTTTACGCTAACGTTAAAACGAGAATGCATTAAAGGCACTGTCCAGGCAAATCTGAGCAAACTGCTTTTTGCCTGGAAATTGATGAGGAAGTTCTAAGTAAGGCACTGCCCAAACTGCAGCGCAAACTGTTCATTCGCAACCGAGTTATCCGTCCCAAACACTCCGCGGCTGTGCCGCGACCGTAATACTCGGGATGGGTCCCAGCGCGAACGTAGTTTCAAAGTGAGCGAAGTTGTTTTTGGGCTACGGCCACGGCGCAGGCTCGGGAGTTGTGGGGACGGTTCACAGCTTGAGTGAACAATTTGCGCTGCCCCTTGGGCAGTGCGTTAGGGCCGCCTCATCAATTTCCAGGCGAAAAACCCATGGGCCCTTATTTGCCTGGACACTGCCTTTAAGCGGGTGGCGGACTTTATGAACGATGGCGCGCGCTGAGGCAGGCATCTGTCAGTAAGGTGTGCACCTTTAGCCCCGCGTCTAGCTGGATGAACGAGTTTTCTGCACTACAGCTTTAGCACTTTTTCATATTGATCATTCTACTGAAAACAGTTGATAGTAAGCTGTAAGCCTGTACCAAGTTTCTTCTGAGCTTCTTCTAAGAAAATTTTTGACAATTTTCTGGATTGTTCCCTTGCTGTGTTTCTATTAATAAATGGGGTACTTACGTGTTAACCGAAAATTATTTAAGCTTAGCTGAGTTAACTTCATGATTGACCGGAGTATCTGATATCCAGTTTTGAAGTGTGAAAGGCAGTGTCGACTACCTCAGGCATGATTGCCTGAGTGACTTCACATTAGACGAGATCAAAGCAACTTCGCATGAATTACCAATCAAGTTCTACCACAGGTAACATTTATAAGTGTAGAACGACTTTTCTAGATATTATGACTTCTACTTAAGGCAAGTATGCACTCATTATTCATTTCCAAAGTAGGAGGCTCATTTGATAATCCTCAATATTGCTTCTATCATGCGAATTTGCTGAACAAAAATTTCCCATTAGATTTTTTTGAATCCCGTTAAATCTGCAAAAAGCTATAATAAAATTTGCTTAGCTATGATCAAGCTTCAGAAAACGAGAGGAAATTCTGTGGTAAGATTCTCAGTGAGAAATGGTCTTTATTTGATAAGTTGACTTATCTCTAAGCAAAATCTCCAAAGTATTTAAAGCAGAAAATTCAGTATATATGACACTAGCTAGCTTACCCGGCTCCGCCGTAAGTTCCGAATAGAAAATTCCAATTCTTAACCGATCCGGACCAAACTTGGCACACATACACTTCGGGCCCCGGCGGCAAAATTTGAGCTAGGGGGCTGGGGGTTGGCACAGGGGTGTAATCGAGCATGCTGATCACCCTCACGGCGGTGATCAGCATGCTCGATTACACCCCTGTGCCACTCCCAGCCCCCTAGCACAAATTTTGCAAAAAAACGATAAAATCGATATCAATCGATGACGAAAAGTAGCCTATGACACCCGCCGGGGCCCGAAGTGTATGTGTGCCAAGTTTGGTCCGGATCGGTTCAGGAATGGAGTTTTCTATTCGGAACATACGTACACACAGACAGACATACAGACATACAAACAGACATTCAGCTTTATATTAGGTTGTCCGGAAATTAATGCCCGTTCTGAATTTCAACAGCAATAAGTCATACACTTCTCATTTCTGAATGGGTCGCAAAGTACCATTCGATAGAGCAAAGCAAGCTCTACAAG